TGCCTCTTTGATCCTCACCCGACTCGTCGCTTGAGTGCTTCTATGTAACATGCTAGCATTGGCCCTTCGTGGACATTCCGATGTGACGTCCATTTTGGGGAGGGAGGCGGAGGCGAATAAAAAAGGCCTTAGACGCCCCGACTCGTCGCTTCAGTGTTTCTGTGCAGCTTGCTGGCATCGGCCATTCGCGGACATTCCGATGTGGCACTCAGTTTTGGGAGGGATGGAGGAGGGGGATCAAAAAGGCCTTCGACGCCCAGGTGCACCTCACTCTCGCCCAGCGTCGATGACGAGGTGGAACCGAAGCTCGGGGATCTTTTGCGACGTCGTCGCGCTTTCGTGGGCCTATACGGGGCTTCCAAGGCCATGGCTGCACCACTTTGCAAATCTAGCCGAAAAACACGCGTGCATTGGTCTAGAGGCCGTTCTTCGACCTTCCGAGCCAGCCGGACCAACCCCCGCGCCAATCCGAACGCCTTCTAAACAGTGCCTTACTTATTGTCGTCGTTCGCCCCTGGGACCCCCCCTTCTCGAAGCCCCCCCCGTCATTCTCCGAACCCCCGAGACCCCGCGCCGACAACAGACCTCCGAGCACTCCATCGCAAGACCACCCGAGAAGCACACACAGCCCCAAACACGACCCCAACGCAACAAAAACTGACCCAGACCTTCCTTCACGAAGCCCCCAAACGCCCCACAATTACTGCAGTCTTCCGAACCCGCCATCCTCCCCAAGAGGACACCCGAGAGCTTCTGCATTCCCGAGCACGTCCCACTGCCAGACAAACCGCCCAGCAGCCCCCCAAACTCCTACAGTTCCACAAACAACCCAGGCTCCCAACCACCCCAGACCCTCAGGCACGCCACCAGACCGCCTCCCCAAACATCCTTCATTTCACAGCCTCTTCGATGACGTTGTCATCATTATCATCATCCGGCCCCGGTGACACTGGTCTTCCGAACCGAAGGCCCCGTCACTTGCCCGCCCCCCACCCTCCAGCCCGCACCCCCAACTGGCTTCCGAATCCTCCATCTCCCCCGTACCCGCCGGCACCACCATTGCTTCATCATTACTGTACTCCCACGTACCCTTCATTATGTCACGATCGCTGCTCTCATCATCTGTTGCTAAGGGCCCAAAATGGCAGAATCGCCCCAAAGAGCAGTTCCAGAAGGCTTACAGCCACCTCAAGATGACCGACGACGGCGACGACGACAACGTCGTCGTCGCCGTCGTCGAACCGCGCGCACCTCTCCCACCAACCCACGTGCTTTGCCGTTTATCGCAACCCCCTATGCCTCGAAATATAGCTGCGCCTCGGCGCAATACGCTTGTTTGTCCTCCACCCCCCTCGCCTCGCACACAGTACACTATACCAGGACTTTAGAGAGAGCGCGGCGAGCTTCAATATGTATGTACGTGTATGTGTGTATATATATATATATATATATGTATCCGAGTTCTAAATAAGCGTCGGGGAGGCGTCGCCCCCGCCGACATCCCTACATCAACCCCAGTCGCGGGCAGCCACCGCGCGCCGAGGGCGCTCCGACCCCCGCCGCGGCGCGACGACGAGACGAGGTTGACCCCCGTCGGGGGGGACCCCCCACGCTTATCAAGAAACCCAAGGTATATGTATGCAGCTATACATATATATATGTATGTATATATATATATATATGTGTGTGTGTGTGTGTGTCTCTCTCTGTATATATATGGTCCCCCCCACCAAACACCTCCAAACCATCCAAACGACAAAACCTTCACTGATCGTTTGCTCTTCGTCGTCGTCGTGGTCCTCCCCCCCAATTCTCCTTGAAATCAGCGAAATCAGCGAAATAGCCCCCCCCGTTCAAAAAAAAAAGAAACGCTTGATAAAACACACACACACACGAAAAACAAAGACACCAACATAACACAAAAAACTCAGGATTTCGGAGGAACCTTGCCCCCCCCTCCCCCAAAGTTTTCCCGACATCGTGGGTTTTTAGGTTTTTTTTGTTTTGTGTTTTTGTTTTTTGTGTTCTCAAGCGTTTTCGCTGCCTCCTCCTCCTCCTGCTCCTCCTCCTCCTCGTCGATTTCAACCCAGTCTGTCGCCCGTGCCGCCCCGTGCCGCCGCCCGTGCCGCCCGCGAAGCCCCGCGCTGCCCGCGTCGCCCGGGCCGCCCGTCGACGCCCACGCAGATTCTCTTTGTCAAGGAAGAACCAACTCTACCCCCCCACCAGCCCGAACTAATGATCCCCATTGGGGCATTGCGATTTCATATGTGCTCTGCACGCTCGTCCATCCTACCTGTGAATTCATACTATCCCAGCCAAGCCGGAATCCGCCATCCTCTGCAAAAAAACCGATGCGCGCGCACTCCTTCATCCTAAGAAAGCAAATGTCAATGATCCCTCGCAAAAAAACAAAAACACCAAAATCGTACCAAACACAATGTGTTTGCAAGCGTTTCAACATATAAGCATTTTTTCTGAAACAAACCCGGGTTTCGCAACCCAAAGTTGCAAATTGCCTATCCGCGCGCTCATGCTAAAATCCTACAAAAAACAATAGGATTCTTATGAATTCTGCCAAATCCAGCGATTTCACGTCACCGCGCGGTGGGCCCGCGATACTCCTGTTATGCGCCGAGGGCGCGAAGCCCTTGCAACACATACCACGCGGGCCACATGCGCGCACCGCCGCGCGCGCATGGGGGGCGAAAGTCCTGGCATCGGGGGAGCGGCAGATCCGAATGCCTGTCTAGCTTCCTTCCTGAACCAGATAATCTACGCGGTGCTATCCACGCGGCGCAGGTGGCCCTGGCGAGCTTGAATTTGCCAACCCCTCTGCTCGCGCAGTCGCCCCGCCCGCCCACGCGCGACTAGACTTTCAAAACCCACGCGGCGGCGATCGCGGCGACTGCGCGGCGCGGGCTGGCGCTTCGTCTTGGCCGCGCTTGCGCGCGCAGGCTCGCGCGAAGAGCGGCCGGCTAGTCTGGCACGGCAGACGCGGCCGTGGCGGCGCTGACCGACGCGCGCTTCCCGGCGCGTCTCGCAGGCCGCGCTGGCCAGCGGACGCATGAGTGCGAATCGGCGACCTGGGCGGGCGCGGCACCATGACGACGTCGACAGTAGCAGACGCGGCGACAATAGGAGCTGGCGACGAAAAAAACAAAGACGACGGCGTGGCGCAGTGTTATCACATGGCATTGACGGACAAGGATTGCCGCTCCCTCTCCCACATCGCGCGCGCCAGGGCGCCCGAGTGATGTCGACGCGCGCGCGCGTGGCCCGCCTGGGCGCATTTGGTGAACGCGATGGATAAAATGAGCGACGCACTAGGATTTCGCGAAAGCGCGCGCGCTGACCATTGATCGCAGAAGCGACCCAGCCATTGCAAGCTGCAAACAAAATACAAAGTGTTTGACCAGGGATTCTTGAACATAGATGACTTCTGGCAAACGAATGCGCGCGCTGTTGTGTTTCTCGCAGAGGATAAAGGGGGGATGGGGGGGGTGACGCGGGCTTGGCTGGGGCCAAATGACATTAACTTTAGAACGAATGGGAACGATCGCTCGTGCGTGGACTGTGCGTTTCCCGACAGGGGCTGATAATCGTGGCTTCAGGGGAATGGGGGGGGCTCCCCCTGTGGGAAGGGGAAGGACCCCACTGCTCGCGCAAGCGCCCCACCCGCCCACGCGAGACCAAATGTGCAAAACCCGCGCAGCGGCGATTGCGAAGGCTGCGCGGCACTGGCCGGCGCGACGCTGCGGCCGCGCTAGCGAGCGCAGGCGCGCGCGCGCAGAGCGGCCCGCTATCTTTCGAGACCGACGCGGCCACGGTGGAGCTGACCGACGGGCACTTCCCAGCGCGCTTCGCAAGCCGCGCTGACGCGCGGGCACTTCACTACGAGTAGGCGGCTCGGGCGGGCGCGGCATCGCGGCGACGTCGACAACAGCAGACGCAATGATGACTATAGAGATGCTGGTGGCGATGATGACAATGACGATGGCAAGTCCAATGGCGGCGCCGATGCTGATCACACCGATGGCGATGATAATGTCCATGCTTCGGCGGTGAAGGGTCTGGAGGGAAATCAACACGCGCGCGCGGCCAACAGGCGCCAATGCCCCGCATAGTACTACTTGGCACGGATGCGCCCCCCAGCACGCAGGCAAGGGCGTTCGAAGGATTTCGACACGCACGCGCGAAATGCCCGCCTGCTGGAATGTGACGGACACGTTGGCACAACAATAAAACGGTCCTGTTGAAATTCACAAGAGAGAGCACCCAGACCTGGTTGATGTTCGAATTCGTGCTACAAAGAACGTGTTGTGTTATATAGTATCGGGGCACTCTGTTTGGGAATCCGCACATAATCTACGGTTTTTACCAGGTTTCGGGATGCGCGCGCGACGACGCGCGCGTGCGCGCACTTGGTCTCATTCTTCCAGCTTCTTTTTCCAAATTAACGGTTTGGGATAAACGAATGCGCGCATAATGTTTTTTACCCTGAGAATCGGGGGGCCGAACCCCGTCTGGATGGGCAGGTATGAATTCATATTTCGACTGGGCGATGGAGCAACATCGAATGTAAGCTGCACATCCCCAGGGGGGGGGGGTCGATAATCCTGGCCTGGGGTGGTGGTGGATCTTAACAGTCTGGAAACATATGTGGCAACATGTATGTCCTGTGCGGCGACGACGCGGCGACGCGGCGGCGACGGCGACAACGTGGCCACCAGAATGGCAAGCAGACCCAGACGACGAGCGGCGACCAGGCCGCGACGGGGCGGCCACGGCGGCAACATAGCCGCAAGAAGAGAAACAAGAACCCCTTTTGGGGGAATAGCAGTGCCAGAAAGAACGCATTCGATGCGTCAAGCAAAGGGAGCGGCTGGCGGCGCATCACCCAACCAAAACCCTCAGTGCAGAAAATTCGTCGGATTGGTTAGAAGGAGGCCAAGGGTGAACGACTCCACCTGCACTATAATGCCGCAACGGCCCATCCCTTCCAGTTTGGTCTGAGGACGGCGCAGAGGAAGTCTTTGTCGTTGCGTAGCTCCTCTAGGCTGGTGGTGGCGCTATCCCACAAATGCCGAAATTTGACCGCCGGGTGCCACGACTCGTACTCTCGCCCTTGAACCGAAACCATTCGACATTCGTTCATGCATAAGTTCCTTGGGGGGGAGCGAGAAGGGACCAGCCGTCTCAGAAGGTGGCCAGGTTTTTCAAAATCCCTCGCGCCTTATAGGAAATTGTCTGTGTCCTCGGGGACGGCTTAGGACACTTCTCAGAAGGCCGGAGTCCTCTCGAGCCTTTCTGACAAGGTCCGTCCCCTCTCACCTCCCCTCCGGACTCGCCGCCGGATAAATCATTCGTCCATCCAGCTCCGATGCAAGACTCAAGGAGGAAGCCATAACTCCACATTGCACATATGACGTCCTGACGAAGGGGCTAGCCGCCTCGGAGGGCGGACACTCGCAGCGCACCAAGCTAAGAACTTCCTTTCCCACTCCCGCTCTCCCTTCCGTTCGTCCTCCCTGTCCCCCTACTTTTTCCTCCTCCCCCTCCTACTCGACCTCTTCCTCAAATTACTCCTCGTGCTCCATATTCGTCCTCCTCCCCCCTCCCCTCCGACGCCGACATCCAAATCTCTCAGGGAGGCCGGGATCCACTGGGCGCCAGATCCGCCCAGAGCCCTCGAGGCTTGAACGGCACGCCGAAAAGTGGAGTTAACAGTTTCACTCGTGTTAGCGCGAGACATCTGGAGTGCACTCTGTGCCGTGCGCACCCCATCCAATCCGCCCGCGCCCTATCCGAAGCCGTCCGCGCAAATCTGCGAATCAACAATACATTTTCTGGCGAACGGGAACTCCCTCCTCCGATCCGGCTTCATGTGGACGCAAAAATCGTCGGGATAGCAAGAGCGCCTCAAAAGCTCCACATGTACGAGACTCGCTAAGCCCGTCCGAAGGACGTGGCATCCGATAGCGGGTGGTCTGGGGGCGGAGTGGGAGTCCAGGGCTGGGCCCGTTGACCATTTGTTGCCTATAAGAGCGAAGAGGCGAGACGAAAGCAAGCCAAGCTAAGACTTACATCTTGCATGCAGCCTAGATCCCGCCCCTCATCACCCCGGTTATTGCACACTACACGCCTCAGAACAAATGAACGCATGGACACATAGCCACACTATCGGCCAGGGGAACCAGATTGCCTGGACAAACCTTCCACAGGCAGCAAAGCAAACAAATCAGATGCAACTCTCAATGTTGGTTGTGTTCATTTGCCTGGAAGTGTGTTCGGTTGGCCCTGGACCCCGCTTTCCGCTCAGGTTCCTGGATCCCCTGGCCTTCAGATCGCGACCCATTCCCGCAGATCCTCGCTGGCCGTCTGCAGCGAACGCGAGTCCGCGCGGCCAATCGCGATAGCCTCCTCGCTGCTGGCGTCCGCCCCAGGCGGGATC